GGATACGACTGATTTTGGCATTTTCTGATAAGAGAACAGTTCTTAAAAAAATCTGTCTTACGCAATAAGTTACAAATCATTATTTTTTACGTAAAATATTTAGACTTATCGTTAAAGAGACATAAATATTCTTCGTAATCGTTATGGTTACAGTGATAATAAAACTTCCAGTTTATAGCCAACAACAACAAGACAACAAGAAATGATATGCTAACCAATGCTTTTCAAGTTGATATTAATTATATTTTTATTTAGATTTTTGCAAATTTCATGGAAAACTAGTGCTAAATGAACAACGGACAGACGATGACAGAGACACGGAAACGGAGACTTGCATTTTCATGCTTTGAAAGAAAATTTTTTCGTGATATTCGTATTTGTTAAAGGTTGAAGAAGGTTTTGCAATCAACTTTAAACTGGATTTATTAAAATGTGCCAGAAAATAATTTTTATAATTATGTAAGTTTAACAGAAACAACATTGTACAATTTCATAGTTCTAGCTTCTCTATGACTTTGTTAACCACGTTTGGGTCGGCAGGAAGATCCACACCCACAATATACTCAACAATTTCAGACATATTCACGTTCCCCAAACTCCACTTCTGATCTCCTATATCCCGTAAGAGCTTCGTCAAGCCATTGAAAGCTTTTTCTAGTTTCAGTTTCTTAATCGTCTCGCCAAGATCTTTAACGCTAGTGCGCCATTTCTGCCCTAAATCATCACCCTTCGCTCGTGAATTCGTGAAATATAATTTTAAAACCACAATCAAGTTCTCCTTTGAATTTTTTCCATCTTTGGCCAGTATCATTTCTTTGATAATATTAATTAACCCATCAAATCCGTAATTAATGTCTCCCCCTAATTTGTTAGTTACTGTAAAAAATTCCAGTGGGTCGTTCAAACTTTCACCTAGTATTTTTCCCAAATCAAAGTGGTCCCGGCAATTAAAAAAAATGGAAAATTGAAAAATCGGATAGTTCAAAAATCGAAACATCGAAAACTCGAAAAGCCAAAAGTAAAAAATCGAAAAGCCGACAAATCGAAAAATCGAAACATCGAAAAATTCAAAACCTGAGACATCGAGAAATCGAAAAATCAAATGCACGAGAAATCGAGGGGTCGAAAAGTCGAAAAATTGAAAAATTCAGAAACCGAAAAATCGAAAAGTTAAAAACGGAAAAATTGATAAATCGAGAGACTGAAAAAAATTGAAAAAATATAGAAGGACTGAAAACCCAAGAAATCGAAGAATCTAGAATGTTAAAAATTGAAAAATTAAAATATCGAAAATTTGAAAAATTGACAAATCGAAATATAAAACAGTTAAAAAATTGAAAAATAGAAAATTTTAAAAATCGAAAAACCAAGATGGCAAAATAAAAAAATTGAAAAATAGAAATATTGAAGAACTGACAAATCGAGAAATCCAAACATGAAAAAATCGAAAAAATAACAATTGGAAAATCTAACATTAAAAAAAAAACGGAAAATCGAAAATTTAAAAAATTCGAAAATTGAAAAACTGAAATATGTATAGAAGAACTGAAAACTCGAGAAATCGAAAAACCTAAAATTTAAGTTTAAGAAACGAAAGATTGAAAATCCAAAAAATTACAGGTCTAAAAATCGAAAAATCCAGAACTCGAAACATTGAAAATTGGAAATACTTACTAAAAAATCCCAAAACTCAAATATCGAAAAATTGAAAAATACAAGGAAGATTGAAGACTGAAAAATCAAAAAATTGAACGTTGGATCCGAAAATTGAGAAATTCAAAATTGAAAAATTGAGAAATCGAAAAGTCAAAAAAGCAAAGTGGAAATGTCGCAAGCTTAAAAAATCAAAAACCTGAAAAATCGAGAAATTGAAAAACTGAAGGACTGAAAAATGGAAACTTTGGGAAACGTCAAAATTTGAAAAATTAAAAGATATTGATGAACTGAAAAATCGAAATCGGAAAATCTAAAATTAAAACATCGTAAAATTGAAAAATGGAGCAATCTAACCATCAAAAACTTAAAAATTCGAAAATCTAAAACTAAAAAATCCAAAAACTGAAAAATCAACAAATCGAGAAACCGAAACTCGACAATTAAAAAATTGGAAAATTGAAAAATCGGATAATTCAAAAATGGAAAAACTAAAAGTAAAAAATCGAAAAACCAACAAACCGAAAAATCGAAACATCGAAAAATTCAAAAAATGTGACATTGAGAAATCGAAAAATCAAAAGAACAAGAGATTGAGGAGTCGAAAAGTCCAGAAGTGGAAAAACTGAAAAACTTAGAAATCGAAATAGTCCAAAATCGAAAAGTTGAAAATGGAAAAATTGATAAATCGGGATTCAAAAGAATTGAAAAATCGAAAATTTAAAAATTCGGAAAATTGAAAACTTAAAATATCTTAAAGTTGAAAAATTGAGAAATCGAAATATAAAACAGTCAGAAAATTGGAAAATCAAAAGTTTAAAAAACGAAAAACTGAAAATCCAAAAAATAAAAAATCGAAAAATCGAAAAATTCAGAAGTAGAAAGATCGAAAAGTCGAAGAAACGACATATTCAGAAATCCCAAAACTGAAAGAAGTATCCAAAAATTGAGAAATTAAGAAAGTGGATAACTGAGAAATCGAAATACCAAAAAAGCAAAGTCGAAAAATCGAAACTTGGAGATCTCGAGAAATGGGAAAATCAAAAATAGATTAATTGAGAAATCGGAAAACTGAAAATTCGGAAACGTCAAAATTTGAAAAATTAAAAGATATTGCAGAACTGAAAGATCGAAAAGTCGAAAAATCTAAAATTTAAAACATTGAAAAATTAAAATACCGTAAAATTGAAAAATGGAGAAATCTAAACAAAAAATTAAAAATTCTAAAATTCAAAAACTCAAAAATCAACAAATGGAGAAATTAAAACCCGGCAATTAAAAAAAATGGAAAATTGAAAAATCGGATAGTTCAAAAATCGAAACATCGAAAACTCGAAAAGCCAAAAGTAAAAAATCGAAAAGCCGACAAATCGAAAAATCGAAACATCGAAAAATTCAAAACCTGAGACATCGAGAAATCGAAAAATCAAATGCACGAGAAATCGAGGGGTCGAAAAGTCGAAAAATTGAAAAATTCAGAAACCGAAAAATCGAAAAGTTAAAAACGGAAAAATTGATAAATCGAGAGACTGAAAAAAATTGAAAAAATATAGAAGGACTGAAAACCCAAGAAATCGAAGAATCTAGAATGTTAAAAATTGAAAAATTAAAATATCGAAAATTTGAAAAATTGACAAATCGAAATATAAAACAGTTAAAAAATTGAAAAATAGAAAGTTTAAAAAACGAAAAATTGAAAATCCAAAAAATAAAACATCGAAATCTCGAAAAGTCGAAGAACGAAATACTAAAAAATCACAAAACTGAAAGAAAAATATCCAAAAATTGAGAAATCAGACAATTGGAAAATTGCGAAATCGAAGAACCAAAAAGCAAAGCCGAAAAATCGAAGAATTGAAGAACTGAAAAATGGAAACTCTGAGAAGTTGAGAAATGGAAAAATCAAAAAGAGATTAATTGAGAAATCGGAAAACTGAAAATTTAGCAAAATCAAAATTTGAAAAATTGAAAAATAGAAATACTGAAGAACTGAAAATTTAAAAAATCGAGAAATCGAAAAACCAAAATTTAAAACATTGAACAATTAAAATACCGCAAAATTGAAAAATCGAGAAATCTACACATCAAAAAAGCAAAAAATAAAAATTTGAAAATGTAAAATTTAAAAATGGAAAAACTGAAAAATCGACAAATTGAGAAATCAAGACTCCAAAATTTAATAAATTTTAAAACTGAAAAATCGGATAACTGAAAACTCGAAACATCAAAAAATTGAAAAGCCCAAAAGTAAAAAATCGAAAAACCGAGATATCCATAAATCGAAACATAGAGAAAATCAAAAACTGAGACATTGAGAAGAAAAATTAAAAATTGAAAAATTGATGAATGGAGAAATTGAACAATCAAAACATCGAAATATCTGAATTCCATAAATCGAGAAATCAAAAAATTGAAAAGTCGAAAAATTTGAAAAAAGAAAAATTGGAAAATCGAAAATTTAAAAATTCGGTAAGCGAAAAACCTAGAATTTTTAAAATTGAAAAATTAAAATATCGAAAAGTTGAAAAATTCAGAAATCGAAGTCTAAAACAGTAAAAAATTGAAAAACCTCGAATCAAAAAATCTAGGAGTCCAGAAATCGACAAGTTGAAAAATCGAAATATTGCAAAATCCTAAAACTGAAAGAATTATCAAAAAAAAAAACAAGAAATTAAAAAAATTGGAAAATTGAGAAATCGAAAAAATAAAACAGCAAAGTCGAAAAATCATTAGCTTAATTTAGATTGAAAAATTGAAGCATAAAGAAGTGAAAATTCGAAACTTTGGGAATTCGAGAAATGGGAAAATAAAAAAAAGATTAGTAGCTGCCGAGATAAGACCACTAGTTAGGATAAGACTGCTTTTGGCATTTTCTGATAAGAGAACAGTTCTTAAAAAAATCTGTCTTACGCAATAAGTTACAAATCACTATTTTTTACGTAAAATATTTAGACTTATCTTTAAAAGACATATTCTTCGTAATCGTTATGGTTACAGTGATAATAAAGCTTCCAGCTAATAGCCTGTAACAAGAAATGATATGCTAACCAATGCTTTACAAGTTGATAATAATTATATTTTTATTTAGATTTTTGCAAATTTCATGGAAAACTAGTGCTAAATGTAAGGTAATTTTAATTGTATGTCGTTTATTTTTTATGATTTTCACAATCTATGCAATATTCATGCATAGTTTACTTACTTACTTGAAAAACTGCAAATTTTAAGAAATTAATAACGGACAGACAATGACAGAGACGCGGAAACGGGGACTTGCATTTTCATGCTTTGAAAGAAATTTTTTTCGCGATATTCGTATTTGTTTAAGGTTGAAGAAGGTTTTGCAATCAACTTTAAACTGGATTTATTAAAATGTGCCAGAAAATAATTTTTATAATTATGTAAATTTAACAGAAACAACATTGTACAATTTCATAGTTCTAACTTCTCTATGACTTTGTTAACCACGTTTGGGTCGGCAGGAAGATCCACACCTACAATATACTCAACAATTTCAGACATATTCACGTTCCCCAAACGCCACTTCTGATCTCCTATATCCCGTAAGAGCTTCGTCAAGCCATGGAAAGCTTTTTCCAATTTCAGTTTCTTAATCGTCTCGCCAAGATCTTTAACGCTAGTGCGCCATTTCTGCCCTAAATCATCACCCTTCGCTCGTGAATTCGTGAAATATAATTTTAAAACAACAATCAAGTTCTCCTTTGAATTTTTTCCATCTTTGGCCAGTATCATTTCTTTGATAATATGAATTAACCCATCAAACCCGTAATTAATGTCTCCCCCCAATTTGTTAGTTACTGTAAAAAATTCCAGTGGGTCGTTCAAACTTTCACCTAGTATTTTTCCCAAATCAAAGTGGTCTGCCAATTCTTCCAAAAAGTAACACATTAAATGAATCCCCGTCTCTTCGGTGAAAATTCTAGTCAAGTTTAACTTAATTTTCTTTTCAATTAAAACCTCCATGCTACCGAATGGTCTAAAAAATTCTCCCATCCCTTGAAACAACCCCACATTCCAGTGAAAATCGCCACGATTCGGTGCTAACGAGACATCGCCCATGACGCCTTCAAATCCAGATAAGGACGTCTTCAGCTTATCGGCACTTATTTTGGAGACGCGTACCATGATGGCCAAAGCTTCACACTGAGAAGAATAATCTATGCTAAGAGCAGCCAAAATTTTTGACATCTTTCCAGACATTTCTTCCGGTATCGATTCTGGTTCAAAATGGTAGCCATGTGTCTCACCAAGTGAAAACAACTCCTTTGGAGGAACTGGATTTTTAAAGTATTCGTCGTAGCTTTGTTTCTTAACAGTCCAAGTTTTATCGGAAGTCCCAGCTGGAATGTAAACTCCGCGTCCATCTTCATAAGAAAAACCGAAAGCATCGCCGGTTAGACCATCATAGAGAAGACTAATGTTGTTGTGGTAGTCCAAAAGCGCTACTTTTTGTTTTTGTGGGTTGTAAGGTATATAGTAGGCTTGTTTTGCCAAAACTCGATAGAAATTACCAGCCTTGTTTTCTTCGGAATGGCCTGAGTTTTCTTCGGAACACTCACATTTTTGATCGGAATGGTGCTTTATGTTAGCTCCATCTTTGAAACAAGCAAATTTTGCTGAGAAATTTATTACGGACTAATAAATACATACCGATTTTTAAAATATATAGGATTAGTATGACAGTCACAGGTGCCTTCATTTTTTGATTTACAAAGTAAATGCGGTGCACCGGCTTTTATAAGTTGTGTATTGACGTAATCGTTATCTTTGGACTCATAACCTAAATTTAATGGTGTTTTTTGAAAAACTTTTATGTTAATTGTCTGTCACACTTATGTTAAACTATGTATATCAAGTTTGCTTTTCAAAATTAGAAGTGAAGGTAATATTCCAATGTATATCGACTCCTAGCACTAAGTTCCCTTAATCATAGTCCTCTTAACACATCACTTTCAATAATTAAGTTGGACATTCTGATTATTGGCAGCAATGTCAGTTCACAGTTGTCAATTTGACAGGAGCTCACCAAAAAACCAATAGGAAGATGGCAGCTACTGCTCAAAATTTCAATTTATATCAAGTATGCCATCATAAAATTTTAAATATGCTGCCAACTTGACAAAACTAATCATAAACTTTCATAGTTACTCGGTACTTAGGTAATTAAAATTAAACTATTCACAAACTCGTTTTTATGTTCTTTTTTTGGGTTGTAAGCTACATGCGTATGTATTTTTTTGCATGAAGTTAATATACATTACCACACTTTTGGAAGATGTTTTCTTACGAAGACACGTCGCCTGAGAACTTGTTTGATCCACAGACCTGAGCGCGCTCAAGCCAATGTCGACTCTAAGCAACTATTTTTTTTTTTTAACTAAAAATTAATTCTTTAATTGCGTTTGACAATTAACAAAACGTCCTAAGCATTGCTAGTGGAACCATAATCATGAAATGGATTTTTTTCGGGAAAGTGAAGTTAATTTTTACACATTTAAAAGTTAAAATATCGAAAAATTTAAAAAAACAGAAATTGATAAGTTGCCAAAACTGATAATGTTGAAAAAATTGAGAAATCGAAAACATGAAAAATCGGGAAATCTAAAAATCGAAAAGTCGAAACATTTTTAAAGTCGAAAAACCAAGATGGCAAAATTAAAAAATCGAAAAATTGAAAAATAGATATATTGAAGAACTGAAAAATCGTGAAATTCAAACATGAAAAAAAATAGGAAAATCTAAAATTTAAAAATCGAGAAATTCAACAATCGGATAATTGAAAAATCGAAACATTGAAAAATTGGAAAATTGAAAAATTAAAAAAAAACGAAAAATCGAAAACTTAAAAATTCCGAAAATTGAAAAATTGGAATATACTCGTAGAAGAACTGAAAACTCAATAAATCGAAAGACCTAAAATTTTAAAAACTGAAAAGTTAAGATATCGAAAAGTTGAAAAATTGAAAAATCGGAGTATAAAACAGTCGGAAAATTGAAAAACCCAAAGTTTAAGAAAGGAAAAATTGAAAATCCTAAAAGTAAAAAGTCCAGAAATCGAATGATCCAAAACTCGAAAAATCGAAAATTCGAAATGCTAAAAAATCCCAAAACTCAAATGTCGAAAAAATGAAAAATACATGAAAAATTGAAGAATCGAAAACTGAAAAATCACAAAATTGAACGAAGTATCCAAAAATTGGGAAATTAAAAAATTGAAAAACTGAGAAATCGAAAAGTCAAAAAACCAAAGTCGAAATATTGCAAAATTAAAAAATCAAATACTGAAAAATCGAAAAAGTGAAAAACTGAAGAACTGAAAAATTAAAAAATATTGAAGAACTGAAAAATCGAAAAGTTGAAAAATCTAAAATTTTCCACACTGAAAAATTAAAATCTGGTAAAATTGAAAAATGGAGGAATGTGAACATCAAAAAAATTAAAATTCGAAATCATAAAATTTAAAAATCGAAAAACTGAAATCAACAAATCGAGAAATCGGAACTCGACAATTAAAAAAATTGGAAAATCGAAAAGCCTACAAACAAAAAAATAATAACATCGAAAAATTAAAAAAATGTGACATCCAGAAATTGAAAAATCAAAAGAACGAGAAATTAAGGAGTCGAAAAGTCGAAAATTTGAAAAACTGAGCAATCAAAATAGGCAAAAATCGAAAAATCGAAAAGTTAAAAATGGAAAAATTGTTAAGCCGAATTGAATAATCAAAACATCGAAACATCCGAATCTCGATAAATCGAGATCTCAAAAAATTGAAAAGTCGAAAATTAAAAACTTCGGAAAATTAAAAAGTTAAATTATAGAAGAACTAAAAACTGAAAAATTGAAGGATCTACAATTTCAAAAATTGAAAAATTAAAATACCGAAAAATTGAAAAATTGAGAAAACGAAAAAATTAAAAATCAAAAAATAGGAACATCGAAAACTCTAGAAGTCGTTCAAAGAAACGAAATGTTGAAAAATTGAGAAATTAAAAATTGGAACATTGAGAAATCGAAAAACCAAAAAAGCCAAGTTGAAAAATCGAAGAACTGAAGGACTAAAAAATCGGAACTTGGATAAGTCGAGAAATGGGAAAATCAAAAATAGATTAATTGAGAAATCGGAAAACTGAAAATTTAGCAACGTCAAAATTGAAAAATAGAAATACTGAAGAACTGAAAAAAAGCGAGGAAACGAAACCTATAAAATTTAAAACATTTTGAACAATTAAAATATCGCAAAACTGAAAAATTGACAAATCGAAACTCCAGAATTTAAAAAATTGAAAAATTGAAAAATGGGATAAATGAAAAATCAATACATGAAAAAATTGAAAAGCCCAAGAGTAAAAAATCGAAAAACCGAAAAATTAAGAAGTCGAAGAAACGAGATATTGAAAAATCTCAAAACTGAAAGAAATATCCAAAAATTGAGAAAGTAAAAAATTGGAAAATTGAGAAATGGAAAAACCAAAAATGCAAAATTGAAGATCGAAGAATTGAAGGACTGAGAAATCGAAACTTGGAGAAATCGAGAAATGGGAAAATCAAAAATAAATTAATTGAGAAATCGGAAATCTGAAAATTTAGCAACGTCAAAATTTGAAAAATCAAAAAAATAAAAATACTGAAGAAGTGAGAAATTAAATAATCGATAAACCGAAATATATAAAATTTCGAACATTGAATAATAAAATATCGCAAAATTGAAAAAACGAGAAATCCACACATCAAAAAATTAAAAAATTAAAATTCGAAAATGCAAAATTTAAAAATAGAAAAACTGAAAAATTGACAGGTCGAGAAATCGAAACTCCAGAATTAAAAAAATTGAAAAATTAAAAAATCGATTGACTGAAAAATCGAAACATCGAAAAATTAAAAAAAAATGGAAAATCGATAACTTAAAAATTCCGAACATTGAAAAATTGGAATATACTCGTAGAAGAACTGAAAACTCGATAAATCGAAAAACCTAAAATTTTAAAAACTGAAAAGTTAAGATACCGAAAAGTTGAAAAATTGAAAAATCGGAGTATAAGACAGTCGGAAAATTGAAAAACCCAAAGTTTAAGAAAGGAAAAATTGAAAATCTAAAAAGTAAAAAGTCGAGAAATCGAAAAATCCAAAACTCGACATTTCGAAAATTCTAAATACTAGAAAATACATGAAAAATTGAAAAATTGAAAAATCATAAAATTGAACTAAATATCCAAAAATTGGGAAATTAAAAAATTGAAAAATTGGGAAACCGAAAAGTCAAAAAACCAAAGTCCAAATATTGCAAAATTAAAAAATCAAAAACCTGAAAAATCGAAAAAGTGAAAAACTGAAGAACTGAAAGATCGAAACTTTGGGAAGTCGAGAAATGGGAAAATTAAAGAATAGATTAATTGAGAAATCGGAAAATTGAAAATTCAGAAACGTCAAAATTTGAATAATTAAAAGATATTGAAGAACTGAAAAATCGAAAAGTCGAAAAATCTAAAATTTACAACATTGAAAAATTAAAACATCCTAAAATTGAAAAATGGTGAAATCTAAACATCAAAAACTTAAAAATTCCAAAATCTAAAATTAAAAAATCCAAAAACTGAAAAATCAACAAATCAGGAAACCAAAACTCGACAATTGAAAAATTGGAAAATTGAAAAATCGGATCATTCAAAAATCGAAAAGCCAAAAGTAAAAAATCGAAAAACCAACAAATCGAAAAATCGAAACATCGAAAAATTCAAAAAATGTGACATTGAGAAATCGAAAAATCAAAAGAACAATATATTGAAGAGTCGAAAAATGGAAAAATTGATAAATCGGGATTCAAAAAAATTGAAAAATCGAAAATTTAAAAATTCAGAAAATTGAAAAATTAAAATATCTTAAAGTTGAAAAATTGAGAAATCGACATATAAAACAGTCGAACAATTGGAAAATCTAAAGTCTAAAAAAGGAAAAACTGCAAATCCAAAAAATAAAAAATCCAAAAATCGAAAAATTCAGAAGTAGAAAGATCGAAAATGCGAAGAAACGAAATATTCAGAAATCCCAAAACTGAAAGAAGTATCCAAAAATCGAGAAATTAAGAAATTGGATAACTGAGAAATCGAAAAACCAAAAAAGCAAAGTCGAAAAATCGACTAATTGAAGAACCGAAAGATCGAAAAGTCGAAAAGTCGAAAAATCTAAAATTTAAAACATTGAAAAATTAAAATATCCTAAAATTGAAAAATGGTGAAAGTAAATAACAAAAAATTAAAAATTCGAAAATCTAAAATTTAAAAATTTAATTTTCTAAAAATTAACAAATCGAGAAATCAAAACTCGACACAATTAAAAAAAATGGAAAATTGAAAAATCGGATAATTCAAAAATCGAAAAATCGAAACATGGAAAAATTCAAAACCTGAGACATCGAGAAATCGAACAATCAAATAAACGAGTCGAAAAGTCGAAAAGTCGAAAAATTCAGAAATCGTAATAGACCAAAATCGAAAAATCGAAAAGTTAAAAACGGAAAAACTGATAAATCGAGAGAATGGAAAAAATTGAAAAAAATATAGAAGGACTGAAAACCCGAGAAATCTAAGAATCTATAATGTTAAAAATTGAAATATAAAACAGTAAAAAAATTGAAAAATATAAAGTTTAAAAAACGAAAAATTGAAAATCCCAAAAATAAAAAATCGAAATCTCGAAAAGTCGAAAAACGAAATACTAAAAAATCCCAAAACTGAAACAAAAATATCCCAAAATTGAGAAATTAGACAATTGGAAAATTGAGAAATCGAAGAACCAAAAAGCAAAGTCGAAAACTCGAAGAATTGAAGAACTGAAAAATGGAAACTTGAAGAAGTTGAGAAATGGAAAAATCAAAAAGAGATTAATTGAGAAATCGAAAAATTGGAAATTTAGCAAAATCAAAATTTGAAAAATTGAAAAATAGAAGTACTGAAGAACTGAAAAATTAAAAAATCGAGAAATCGAAAAATCTAAAATTTAAAACATTGAACAATTAAAATACCACAAAATTGAAAAATCGAGAAATCTACACATCAAAAAAGCAAAAAATAAAAATTCGAAAATGAAAAATTCAACAATGGAAAAATTGAAAAATCGAGAAATCGAGACACCAAAATTTAAAAAATTTTAAAATCGGATAACTGAAAAATCCAAACATTGAGATATCCATAAATCGAAACATAGAGAAAATCAAAAACTGAGACATCGGGAAGAAAAATTAAAAATTGAAAAATTGATGACTGGAGAAATTGAACAATCAAAACATCGAAATATCTGAATTCGATAAATCGAGAAATCAAAAAATTGAAAACTCGAAAAATTAAAAAAATGAAAAATTGGAAGATCGAAAATTTAAATACTTGGTAATCGAAAAACCTAGAATTTCAAAAATTGAAAAATTAAAACATCGAAAAGTTGAAAAATTTGAGAACTCGATGTACAAAACAGTCGAAAAATTTTAAAATCTGAAATCAAAAAATCCAGCAGTCCAAAAATTCAAATATTGAAAAATCCCAAAAGTGAAAGAAATATCCAAAAAAATGAGAAATTAAGGAATTGGAAAATCGAGAAATCGAAAAACTAAAACAGCAAAGTCGAAAAATCGTAAGCTTAAAAGATCGAAAAATTGAAGCGTTGAAGAAGTGAAAAACCGAAACTCTAGGAAGTCATGAAATGGGAAAATAAAAAAAGATTACTTCAGAAATCGGAAAACTGAAAATTTAGAAACGTCAAAATTTGAAAAATTGAAATATCGTAAAATTGAAGAGGACAAAAATTGAGAAATCGTATCATTGAAACATCGGAAAATTTGAAGAATGGAAAAGTGCTAAATTGAAATACTGAAAAATTGAAACATACAAAGTTGAAAAATCGAGAAATCGATAAGCGAAAAATCTCAATAGCGTATTTATAAGCCACAAGCAGGACTGTGCCACTTTTTAACATTTAAATAACATTTATTCGACAAAACTGTAGGATGACATCATCAACTCCTGGGGGCCATCAACGGATAAATTTTGACTAACGACTTGACACGATTGTAATAACTATGTATAAATTGGAAAATGTTGTTTTTTTTTTCCCAAAAATCTTAACATCTAAGGGAAAAACTCAACACGAATTCATAAACCATAAACAGAGGGAAAATTTTTTTTTTTAATTACATATACTATCATAAAATATGGAGATTACGTTATTTGATTGTTGGTGACAAATTTTGGTGAGATGGTCGAAACGGGTTAGTTCTTCGTAGTGGATGTGTATCAGATCAGCTATAATAAAAGTAAGTGCAATTTTCGTCCGTTGGTCTTAATGCTTTTTGTCTTTTTTTGCCTTTAATGCATTCAAAACCTTCCATACTGAACGTTTGTTGCCAGGCAGTTTTTGGTCCGAGATAGTTTTAAGAACTTCATACATATCGACATCACCAATCTGCCACTTCTTCTCATCGTCCATACGTTGCAAAATTTTAAATATTTTTCCCAACTTTCCATCCAATTTAGTCTTTTTAATAGTTTTTCTGATACTCGAGATTCCCCCTGCCCATGTTTTCTGGTAGTCGTCTTGAACTCCTCCTTTGTAGGTAATATATCCAGACACAGTAGCTTCTATGCTTTCATACGAACGTTTTCCATGCAAATAGCCCACGCTTTCAGAAACAACGTAAATATATCCACTGAAACTATGCCTAATGTGTCCTCCGAACCCTGCTACTATTTCAAAAAACGTCTCCTCGTCATCCAAATGTGGTGTTATTGCATCGATGAGGTCAGAATGGGGTGCCAAAGCTTCGAGAAAATAACCCAAAAGATGAAATTCTGTTTTGCTATTTAACAACTGCTTGTAATTCAACTGTACGTTTCTTTTTTTCAAGGCCTCCATTTCGCCGTCCAAATAACCAAAGAAAACTTTCCATCCCTTGTAGTAGCCGAGGGTTTGGTATAGATCACTCCGCAAGTCTAAATCACTGAGTGGTTTATCCAAAACTTGCTCATAACCCTTTATTCTTACTAAATGAACAGAACTGGCGGTCTCCAGTGCGTAGGCAAATGCTTGGCACTCGTCGTTGTAAGCCTGACTCTGGCTTGACAAAATTTTGAATAATTTCTTTTGAAGATCTTTTGGGATAGTTTCAGCGGTGATTTTCATTCCTTTTGTTTCACCGAGTTTGTAGAGTTCTTGTAGGGGGACTTGGTTTTTTGAGTATTCGGAAAAGGACTGTTTTTTGGCGAGCCAGGTTTTGTCGGAGACTCCGCCGGGAATGTACACTCCTGCGGTTTCAGCGTTGATAAAGACGAACACATCGCCTGTTTGACCGTCGTAGAAGCCTGTTGCGTTTATATTGTAAGCCAAAACGGCTACATACTGAGTGTTTTCCTTTTGTAAATCGCAGCCGAATTTAGGGTTGTACGAATATTTTATCCCTGTGCCCTTTTCTTTTGGTTTTTTACTTTCTTCACTGCTGCTTTCTTCTGAACTTTTACATAATCCTCCGCCTTCTCCAGAATGTTCATCTAAAAATTAGTAAAATAATATTCACTAACTATTCGTGAATCGTTGAATATTTTACCGCTATGTTTTTTGGAACCTTTTTCAAAAAGTTTGCCTAAAAATTTTTAAATAGTAACTAAAGTCTTTAATTTCGTTACTAAATACCTAATCCATCGTTCCCTGTAGGGTGTTTCCAGCCGAATCCTTTATGTCCTCCCAAATGTTTACCTACTGGTAATAAAAAAAACCAAAGCATACTTAAAAAATTATGTTGTAACGTTTCAAAAACTTTCAAAAACTGGCACATTTTCAAAATTTCTTACCTTCTTTACTTTCTCCGGAGTGACTCTCTGGAGAATCCTTCTTCTCTTTACTTTCATCTAAAAAGCGTTAGTTAAATTTGCTATTCTCAGTCGAAACTTAGCTTACCTTTAGCGAGAGCAGTTAGAACCAAAACAAAAAGTAGAAGTACTGGAAGTCGTTCCATTTTAAAAATGGAACTCATCCACTGTGTGGTACCTTTTTATATGGTGGTTTATGATGTATTTTTAAATTTTAGATTTAGTTCTTGCGTCAAGAGTTCGTCTTCATTACGTTTGCTATCTATGGTAACACGATGTAAAATTGGGATTTAACCACATGGAATTCATTAAAACCAAAAACATATGTACATTCATTTTACATACGATTTACAGATAAGAAATTCGAAAAATTTTATTTTTTGGGTTAATTTTGAATGTATTTGACACAGAATATACAAAAAGATTTAAAAAAATTTCAAAATTAATTGAAACTATAAGTGTAAATTCGGTATACAGTCTGTAGAAAATTTTATGGTAAGTGTGCACAATAAAATTATAAATATACAAAAAATGTTTATTAACAAAAATACATTTTTGACGTCAAAAAAGTAAATTTATGACGTTATCACTTATCAGTAGCGTCAATAAACAGTTTATATCCATTTTATTTTTATTTTAGATTATAGGGGTTATTGCGAAAATTAAAAGTTGTTCAGGAAACTGGACTTAAGTTTAAGCATACTTTTTTGTTGGAACCAAGTGCTTGTACACAGTTAGGAACGGAGAAAGGTATTAGATTATCATTATATCATGTTATTATAATTTTTGTGCATATTTTTTATGGTTATTCTGCTCATCAAATTCTGTCGTAAAACAATATTATTGTTTAAGATAAGATAAACATAAACCAAATAATGTTTTGCTTAAAAAAACTGCATAAACATGTATTTTGGACTTTTTACAGTTGTTAAAAAAGCACTGAAAGGAGAACGTGGAAGCATTTTTTAGCATATTTAATTAAGTTTGTATTTCTAGGGAAAATGAAATAGTAGTTTCGAGTCCAAAAGTCATTTTTGGCTTCATTTGTTCGAAAAATCCTGCCATTTTTCCAGGATTGTCCAATGAAATAAGTATGGCAATTTTTAAGATTAAAAAAAAATACTTTCAAAACTAATATTTATAAAATATGACCCAGGGACAGAAACGTGCTGAATTTTTCTGATCACTGATCAGCATACCGAAAAATCGAAAAATTGAGAAATCGAAATAGAAAAATTACAGTTACAAACTGAAAAATTGGAAAATATAAAATTTAAAAAATCGGTAACCCGAAGAATTGAAAAATCGATAAATTGAACACTAAAAAAATGAAAAATTGAAAAATCGAAATCCAAAAAAATTAAAAATCTAGAAAGTGAAATATTGAAACATTAATAACATGTCGAAAACTTGAAAAATAGAGAAATCTAAAAATCGAAAATTTGAAAAATTTTTAAAATCGCATGATTAGGATGTGAAAAATATCAAAAATTACAAAATGAGAAAATGTAAAATTTAAAAAATCGAAAAATTGGGAAATCAAATAATTAAAAAAAAACGAAAAATTGAAAGATCGGAAATCGAGAAATCGGAAAACCAGAAATCGAAAAATCCAAAATTTAAAGAAAAATTGAAAAATCCCAAAACCGATACATCCAAAATCGAGAAATCAAGAAGTCAAAATATATAGGATTAGTATGATATTTGGAATTATTGAAGAACTGAAAAATCTAAAATTTAAAACATTGAAAAATTAAAATATCGTAAAATTGAAAAATGGAGAAACCTAAACATCAAAAAAATAAAAATTCGGAAATCTAGAACCTAAAAATTGAAAAACTTAAAAATCAATAAATCGAGAAATCGGAACTCGACAATTAAAAAAATTTGAAAATTGAAAAATCGGATAATTAAAAATCGAAACACCGAAAAATCGAAAAGCCAAAAGTAAAAAATCGAAAAACCGACAAATCGAAAGTCAAAAACTCGAGAAGTCGAAAAATTGCAAAATTGAGAAACCGAAATAGGCCAAAATCGAAAAGTAAAATTGATAAATCGAGAGATTGAAAAAAATTGGAAAATCGAAAATTTAAAAATTCGGAAAATTGCTAAATTAAAACATAGAAGAACTGAAAACCCGAGAAATCGAAGAATTTTAACAATTGAAAATTTGAATTATCGAAAATTTGAAAAATTGACAAATCAAAATATAAAACAGTCGAAAAATTGAAAAATCGAAAAATTCAGAAGTAGAAATATCGAAAAATCGAGGGAACGAAATATTGAAAAATCCCAAAACTAAAAGAAACATCCAAAAATTGAGAAATTATACAATTGGAAAATTGGAAAATCGAAAAACCAAAAAAGCAAAGTCGAAGAATTGAAGAACTGAAAAATCGAAACTTGGAGAAGTCGAGAAATGGGAAAATCAAAAATAGATTAATTGAGAAATCGGAAAACTGAAAATTTAGCAATGTCAAAATTTGAAAAATTCAAAAATTAAAAATACTAAAAAATCAAAAATCGAGAAATCGAAAAATATAAAATTTAAAATATTGAACAATTAAAATATCGCAAAACCGAAAAATCGAGAAATGCACACATTAAAAAATCAAAAAATAAAAATTCGAAAATGTAATATTTAAAAATCGAAAAACTGAAAATTTAACAAATCGAGAAATCGAAACTCCAGAATTTAAAAAATTGAAAAATTGAAAATTCGGATAACGGAAAAATCGAAAAAAAGCCCAAAAGTAAAAAATCGAAAAACCGAGATATCCCAAAATTGAAACATAGAAAAATTCAAAAACTGATGAGACATCGAGAAACCGAAAAATCAATCGAAAAGTCGAGAAGTGGAAAAATTGAAAAATTGAGAAACCGAAATAGGCCAAAATCGAAAAATCGTAAAGTTAAAAATGGAAAAACTGATAATCGACAGATTGAACAATCAAAACATCGAAACATCCTAATTTCGATAAATCGAGATCTCAAAAAATTGAAAAACTAAAATATAGAAGAACTGAAAACTCAAGAAATCGAATAATTTATAATTTTTAAAATTGAAAAATTAAAATATCGAAAATTTGATAAATTGAGAAATCGAAATATAAACAGTCGAAAATTTGAAAAATCAACAGTTTCACACGAAAAACTGAAAATCCAAAAAATTAAAAATCGAAAAATCGAAATATGTACTAAAAAATCCCAAAACTCAAATATCGAAAAATTGAAAAATACAAGAAAAATTAAGAAATCGAAAAGTCAAAACAGCAAAGACGAAAAATCGAAAACTTAAAAAATCGAAAAGCTGAAAAATCGAAAAATTGAAGAACTGAAGAACTAAAAGATCGAAACTTTGGAACGTCGAGAAATGGGAAAATCAAAAAATAAATTAATTGAGAAATCGGAAAACTGAAAATTCGAAAAGTCGAAAAATCTAAAATTTAAAACTTTGTAAAATTAAAATATCGTAAAATTGAAAATTGGAGAAATCTAAACATCACAAAAATAAAAATTCGAAAATATAAAACTTAAAAATCGAAAAACTAAAAAATCAATAAATCGAGCAATCGCAACTTGACAATTAAAAAAAAATCGAAAAGCCAAAAGTAAAAAATCGAAAACCGACAAATCGAAAGTCGAAAAGTTGAGAAGTCGAAAAATTGAAAAACCGAAATAGGCCAAAATCGAAAAGTTAAAAACGGAAAAATTGATAAATCGAGAGATTGAAAAAAATTTGGAAAAAGTAAATTTATGACGTTATCACTTATCAGTAGCGTCAATAAACAATTTATATCCATTTTATTTTTATTTTAGGTTATAGGGGTTATTACGAAAATTAAAAGTTGTCCAGGAAACTGGACTTAAGTTTAAGTATACATTTTTGTTCGAACCAAGTGCTTGTACAGAGTTTGGAACGGCGAAAGTTATCAGGTTATCACATATATTTTGTACATATTTTTTGTGGTTGTTTTGCTCATCAAATCTGTCGTAAAACAGTATTATTTCTTTAGAATTCAGCAAGATAAGATAAACAACATAAACCAAATAATGTCTTGCTTAAAAAAACTGTATAAACATGTATTTTAGACTTTTTACAGTTGTTAAAAAACCACTCAAAAACAGAACGTAGAAGCATTTTTTAGCATACTTAATTATGTTTGTATTTCTAGGGAAAATGAAATAACAGTTTCGAGATCCAGAAGTAATTTTTGGCTTCATTTTTCCAGGATTGTCCAATGAAATAAGTATGGCGATTTTTAAGATAAAAAAAAATACTTTCGAACCTAATATTTATAAAATCTGGCCCAGGAACAGAAACGTGCTGAATTTTTCTGATCAGTGATCAGCATGCCGAAATTTATATCTCAGAATTTTTTGCGAAATTTTATGCAACTTTTTGAAATTTTTCAATGTCGAAAAATTGCGAAATCGAAATAGAAAAAATCGAAAAGTTACAAACTGAAAAATTGGAAAATATGAAATTTTAAAAAATCTATAAACCGAAGAATTGAAAAATCGATAAATTGAATACTAAAAAAGCTGAAGAATTGAAAAATCGAAATCCAAAAAATTTAAAAATCTAGAAACTGAAATATTGAAGCATTAACATGTCGAAAACTTGAAAAATAGAGAAATCTAAAAATCGAAAATTCGAACAATTTTAAAAAGCGCATGATTAAGATTTGAAGAACATCAAAAACTGAAAAATGGGAAAATGTAAAATTTAAAAAATCGAAAAATTGGGAAATCAAAAAATTAAAAAAAAAACAAAAATTCAAAGATCGGAAATCGAGAAATCGGGAAACCAGAAATCGAAAAAATTTAAAAGAAAATTGCAAAATCCCAAAACCGATACATCAAAAAATCGAAAAATCAAAAGTCAAAATATATAGGATTAGTATGATATATAGAAATATTGAACAACTGAAAAATCTATAATTTAAAAAAAAATGGGAAATCGAAAATTTAAAAATTCCGAAAATTGGAAAACTGAAATATGGATAGAAGAACTGAAAACCCGAGAAATCGAATAACCTAAAATTTTAAAAACTGAAAACTGAAGATGTCAAAAAGTTGAAAAATTCAGAAATCGAGTATAAAACAGACGAACAATTGAAAAATGTAAAGTTTAAGAAGCGAA